AGCTGTAATGCTAGCTTGTATCCTTTATCTAACTATCTGACCTATGATAACACTTCAGCCAAGTATGAATGCTATGTCTCCAAATTCTCTAATTTGGTTGAACCATCCAGTTTTAGAGAAGTTCCCATGGATCCTAGGTGGGTTGACGCTATGAAGTTGGAGATTAAAGCATTAGATGATAACAAGACATGGGATGTGGTTGAATTGCCTTCAGGAAGGAATGCAGTAGGATCAAAATGGATCTACAAAATCAAACATCAAGATAATGGTGAAGTGGAGAGGTTTAAAGCTAGATTAGTTGCTAAAGGATATAGCCAAAAGGAAGGCCTTGATTATCATGAGAACATTCTCACCGGTAGCTAAGATGATCACAATAAGATCTGTCATTGCACTTATTGCATCCAAACGATGGGATCTATTTCAAATGGATGTTTATAATGCATTTTTTCAGGGAGATTTATATGAAGAGGTATACATGGAGATGCCTGAAGGAATCAGAAGTTAGGGGGAGATCAATGTGTGCAGGTTATTGAAGTCAATGTATGGATTGAAACAAGCCTCTAGACTGTGGAATATCAAGTTAACTGATGCATTATTGAAGGTTGGGTTCATACAGAGCAATTATGATTATTCATTGTTCACAAAGAAAGAAAATGGTCACACTGTGATTATTTTGATATATGTGGATGATTTATTAATCACTGGTAGTTGCAAAAACCTGATAGGTCAAGGAAAAGAGGCTTTACATAAGCAGTTCAAAGTCAAGGACTTTGGAGATCTCAAATATTTTTTGGGAATCGAAGTTTTGAGATCTGACTGTGGAATATTGTTGAACAAAAGGAAGTATGTGCTAGAATTAATTTCTGAATTAGGACTAAGTGGAGCAAAACCTTCACCAACTCCATTGGAAACTAATGTCAGATTAACTACAACACAATTTGATAAGGAAACAAGACGTCAAGGTGATCGGTTACTAACAGATGTTAGTGCCTATCAAAGATTGATGGGAAAGCTATGATATGTGACCATAACTAGACCTGATATCAGTTATACTGTTCAGACTTTGAGTCAATTCATGCAAGCACCAAAACAATCTTATTCGGATTCAGCTGTAAGAGTGGTGAAGTACTTGAAACTTGCACCTGGGCTGGACATTCTCATGAGTTCATGTCCCAGTCAATAGCTCACATGTTGGTGTGACTCAGACTGGGCAACATATAAAAACACCAAACGATCAGCAACAGGGTATTTGATCAAATTTGGAATCTCACTTGTATCTTGGAAATCAAAAAAACAGCAGACAGTGTCAAGAAGCTCTGCAGAGGCAAAATACCGAAGTATGGCAGTTGAAGTAGCTGAAATTACGTGGTTGATAGGTTTGTTTTCAGAGATAGGGGTGAAAGTAGCACATCCAATAACTGTTATGAGTGACAGTAAGGCAGCAATACAGATTGCTTCGAACCTCATTTTTCATGAAAGAACCAAACATATTGAGATTGATTGCCATTTTATTAGAGGCAAGATTAAAGAAGGACTCATTAGAACAGTCTTTGTGAGAACCGAAGAACAGCAAGCAGACTTATTGACAAAAGGTTTAAGCAAGGCACAACATTACTATCTAATGGGCAAGCTGGGAGTGCTCAACATCTTACACCCTCCAACTTGAGGGGATGTATTGGATTTAGTATCATCTAGATGATTAATTAGTTAGGAGATTAGAATAATGATTGTTAGCTTAGTAGTTACGAGTACAATTGTCAAAGTTTGTTAAATATAACTGTCAAAATTAGGAAGTTATTTTTTCTTAGAGAAAAGACATAAAGACACCATCAAAGTTGTCCGATATTTGCACTAAGACACCTTAACTTTTAAAGTGTCCTATCACCCCACAGAACTATTTAATTTCTTTGTAAATGGATCATTTTGATCCATTTCCTAGTCTGAGTTGTTACCACGCACATGAGGCGCGTCATGCATTATTTTTACTGCCATGGACCAGTTTAAAGGTGCCATGTGTCATTATTTTTCTTTATTATTAATTATTTTTCAATTTATGTCATCTTCCCCAAATTTAAACCCAAAATAATCATTGTTAGCCCTAATTTTCAATTTCATTGTTTTTTCCATAGCAAAATCAACGTTGATACTCTTTGTTTGACCACTTCATCATCTTCTCTAAGAAAATAAGACACCACTATTGGCGAGGAACTTTTGGATCAATGAAGAATGTGATTTTCTTGTTCAATAAATTCAAAGTAAACACTTCCAAGCTATGGATGCTCCTGTCTAAGCATCACAACTGGCCATAATGGCTGAGAAAAAGATTGTCTGCCACAAGTTGGCCAATGGAACATGATGAACAAGAAAATGGTTAATGGAGGAACTGTTGTCAATGGATCTGCATTAACTTTTCTTGCAATGTGCAAGAAAGCGTTATGCATGGGTTTTTTCTGAGTTAGCATAAATGTGTGAGTTATTTAGGTCCGAGTTTTGCTACCAAAAGGGTTGCAACTAATAGCAATTCCACATTCAAAATTTTGTTGTCACCTAACTCTATAGCTGAATAAAAAAAATTCGAATGAAGAAAAATTAACGAAAATTTCTTGAAGGTGCAAGCCAAACAGAGAAGAAAAGAAATGGAGAAGATGACTTCTCTTTAAAGAATAGGGTCGGGTCGGGTCGGATTGAATTAGATCATAGGGAGTTGAGCAACGCGCCACTACATAGACGAGAAAATGGGTCAAAATGGCCCATTTACAAAGAAATTAATTAGTTCTATGGGGTAATAGGACACTTTAAAAGTTAGGTGTCTTTATGCAAATACGGAACAACTTTGACGGTGCCTGTATGTCTTTTCTCTTTTTTCTTAATATATATATGATGTATGAAGTGTAGAAAAGAGATCAGATCAATATAAACAAAATTTTCCAAAGAATACTTTCTGCTAGGTTCAATTGCCATTGACGAACGGTTTTATCTAGATTCACTAGCTATATTCGAACAGATTTCCCTCATACATATGACATAATATATTCTTCACATCAATTGATATCCCATACAATTGGTTTGCACATGAATTGAATCCAGTTTGACACACATGCATTAGACTTTTGCTTTAAAAACATATACTTAAAAAATCAAATATTGTTTTAACTCGATTTCAATTAAGACTAAATGACCTATGTACAAATATAATGTATTTTACCATGCGTGTGAATATAATGTATTATTATGTGATGATATTACTTCACACTTGAGATCAATATATTCCATCCAACTCATTAGATTGCATATTAAAACCCACTAACGATTCTAATCCAAGAGAAGATGATTTTTTTTTCCCTAATATATTCCACTTTCACTAATTTTATATTTCAACCACAATTTTCAATTGAAAATGACTTGCCAATAAATTGTGATTGTACAATCAGAAGATTCGAGCATTCACTTTGGAACAAATTAAGTAGTTCCTTATTAGTTAAGCAATTGTGATCAGGAAAAGATCTCCTCAAATGTTTTCTAAATCGAGTCTATCTAATTACGATTGTCTAGTGCAGTTTACATTTCATATTTGGTATATGGAGACTATCATATAGTGAAAAGTTATCTGACATACACAAAGTGCTCTTAGATGTTGTGACAAAAATCGTAGCAGTTACGAATTATCCCTGTTTTAGAAGAAATTGTAATCAATTCTTAGCAATATATTCTAATTTAACATTTTTATCAACTAAATTATTTTCAAAACAATTACGATGCCTTAATCAGGTCTTGATATTCACATGTACAACATGTACTTAGATAGTAAGTATTTGAATTAAAATATGTTATATAGTAACTAAATTTGTAAAAGGAAAAAAAAATTCAAATATACTCAAACTTTGTGAAATTGTTGCATTATTTAATAGTCTATCTTAAATGTGCATGTGAACATCATAAATATTGCATCATAATAAATAGTAATTTGTCTATATGAGAGCGCGCACGCTTATATATAAAAAGTCATCTTATGAGTACGTTTAATATATATTTTCAGGCACTTTTATGAGATTAATCAAATTAGTATCAATGTGTTCCTACACATACAAACTTGAAATTGAAATAAACTTTGAGAAAATGTAAGTTGCAAAAGTAGTTTATAAAGAACAAAGATTTTGCAAAAAGGGGAAACCGTGTTACCTTTGGAACCTTTTGATGTTTTAATATATATTGGATAATATATTCTTTTAACTTTTTATATCACTTAAATTTTCATATATAAACACAATTATTCTTTTCCCATTTGAAAAAGCAATCAAAATATGTAAAGTTGAAAAAAAATATTTGAGATCATTTTTACTTTATATACCTCTTTCATTTCATTAACTAATTTTAAAATATTTGTTATCTTTATTTGAAGATAACTTAAAGAACAAGGCTAGAGAATATACAAAACACACGAGTTAGGTTAAGTGATGTATAATTTTTTTAATTTTTAATCAGAAATCTTGAATTTGAGCTTAAGATTTGGAGTTACTTTTGCTAGAAAATATTTTACTTCAATATAAATTTCTTCAATGTAAATTTAAATTTGATCTATCATCAATATATAAAATCGAACAAGAAATTTCTAAATCATTTATGAAAAATTTGGAGATAGTAATAGAAAACTCCTATTGGTGTAAGTGTGTCCAATCGACCAATAAAGCAAATTAAAACTCAATTCTAATTGAAACAAAAACATAATTAAAATACATATAAACTAACTCGAATATTACAATAATTCGTGAAAAACTTGATAGTGCAAAACAAGTGATATAAAAGTGACAAAAAATTCTTTATCTTTTTCAAACCGACTTGATTTATATGATACTCATTTCTTTTTGACAAATAAAAACGTGTGGGGTCACCAATAAAAGTTTTGAAAAAATAATTTTAAAAGAATGGAATATGTTGGCTTCTAATTTCTTTTAATTTTAATCTTCATCCATTTGAAAACTATATATAAAAGGTGCTATTTGCTAACAATTTCTCAACATATAGTAGTATTTTTCATATATTTACATACACCGATCCATTCTATTTACTTGACATATAGTATACAGTACTCTTCATATACTTCTTTCTTTTTCTTGTGTTCATTCCAATATGCAAAATCAACAAAACCAACCTGCCCTAGGTAACAAAGTCAGAAATTTACGTTCTTTCTTTAATATCTACGTATATGTGAGGATTCATGTTCAATTTTTAATATAAATTTTAAGAAAGTATAGTACATGATATTTGATCTTATATATACACAACAAAGATTATGGAGAGATGAACAAAGTTCGATCTTCCTCCACTTGTTAATTTTAGGTTTTGTGTTTGACATCTGAATATGAAAAAAAAATCCTACTAGGGTTATTAGTACGAGGATGTAAATCAAAAAATAAAACTTACATGAGTGGGTGGATTCTGAATAAATATGATCAAATTAAAAAAAAAACATGGTATAATTTTTCAATAAATTAAGAATGTTCTACTAATCACTCTTTCATTATTGATGATAACTTCTTAATTTTGTTGTGTCTTGGTTTTAAAGGTTATCCGACAGAATCTACCCCACAACCAACAGAAAAGAAGAACAAGAAGATGAAGTGCTTCCCAAGAAGTAAACCAAAAGGAGAAAGGGGCTTCATTGAAGGATGGTAATTAAGTTTTCTTAATATTCATCACATATATTTTCTTTAAAAAAACTATATTAGTTTGATATACATCGATTTTATAAAGAATATTTAGTACTATTAGGTTATTCAAAAAGATATTTATGTGTATTATTCATATAAATATAAGATTTGTTATCTTGAAAATAACTATGTTACCTGCTACAATAAATAAAGGTGACCTTAAGAAATTTGCTTTTGTTTTTTTGCAGCCTATTTGCAATATGCTGCTGTTGGGTATGTGAAGTTTGCTTTTGATTGTATATTTAGGATTTGGACCTATAAAGTCCATAATCAGTTCACTTGGTGTTGATGTATTTAACTAGTGATGTAATAGTATATACTTGTGTTTTTCACCAAACTATAGTATTATAATGTGTGATGTGACGCACTATATTAATTAATAATAAGGTGTGTTATTCTTCTTTCTATTTGTTTTGTGTGTTTTTGAGGTCTGAAGAATTGTTGTTGTGTAAACAATCTTTGAGATAATACAGTTCTTGTTTTCCTTTCTTTACATACTTCTCTCTTTCTCCCTTTCGATTGTCGCAATAAAATAATAGTGTTAACGAGAAACAAAAAGGGCTTAAGAAAACACTTGTCTTAACTTCTTACCGACAATATGACCAGATGTTGACACTCAATTAGGAGCGTTGGCATATATACATAAAGGAGAAATAAAGTTAGCTAAAGATAAAAATATGAAGCAAATTACAATTTCAGCCATGGTATTAAGAATGAGTCACTGCCCTTCTCCGACTCTAACTACCAACCTAGGAGAGGGTATATAATACTTCCTACTTGTTGAAAAGGGTTCTATGATGGGTCCTTAACCTCTAGATGTCGAAGGCATCCTTGAGTGAACTCACGGTTCATACAAGGTGGAGATTATGGGATAAGTTCATGAATTTTCCTTGTCACCCGAATCATCAGCTTGTTAGAACAACAACAACATACACAATGTAATCCCACAAGTAGGGTCTGAGGGTGAGGTGTATGTAGTCTTACGTCCTTACCCATGCCTTGTGAAGGTAGAGAGACCTGTTTTCGATAGACCCTCAGCCAGCTTGCTAGAAATACTAACTAAAAAGCAAAGAGTAAACCATATGAATGTTTTACCTGACACTTTCTCTTATTGAATGAATACCAGTTTATGGTAATACATAGGTTGGGCAGAAGAAAGCTTAGGATAAAGTTCATATAAGTTGCAGAAACATCACTAAACTGAAAAACACTAAGAGTTGGTACAAAAGTTACGACGCTATACAGAATCTAGCAGCTTTTCTAAGACATGTACTGTCTAGATGTCCATCCGGTGTCATGTCTACCAAGCGAGTAGGCTGACGGTGGCATCTGAGAGAAGTGGAGGGGATCTGGTTCAATTCCATAATCAGTAAGTGGCCTGTGCTCTAAAATTTCATCATGCTTTTGAACAAATTCAGGAATCTCAAGCTCTCCTTTCTTTATGTCGTCCCAAAGGTATTGCAGTCGACTAACATACTTTACTTTCCAATACAAACTACACCAAAAGAAAACAGTGTATAGGAAATGTCCTTCACATATCTCTCAAATGAAGGAAAGAACATGCTGCTAAAAGAGAGGAAGAGTGAAACCAGAAGCAACGTCTACATAATAGTAGCAAAAAATCTTAAAGATCATTGTAACCTGAATGCATATTTACATGTTACGGGGGTATGCTGCAAGATGAGTTGATCGGAAATAGATGCAAGCACTATGGTTTATCGTACATGTCCTATAGAAAGACAACCAATTATGGTTTCGACTAATCAACCAAAAAATGTAATTATTAAAATTCATGCAATCTTGACTAAACATGCAGGGGGGAAATGTGAGGTCTACAATTACCATGTGCAGAATTTTAACTAACAAAGAAACTACTTACCCTCCACTCAGGAAAAATCTGCCTAGCGTTGCAAGAACAAGCCTTGACCGGAGCCCAGGATGAACAAAGTATACAGCCTGAAGCCTGTCCTTATGGTCAGGAGGTAGCTCTTCGTAGATCCACCGCAAGATGGTCAATCCAGGATTGTTATCCTCCTTTTGGACAGTACTATGCATGTAGACAATACAGAATGGCCCCTCAGGCAGCTCCGTGCAAACTTTGTTAAAGACATACTTTTTCAGCCGCTCCGCACTTATAACTAGAGCTGCGAAATATTGTTGACATAGTTGTTTTACATATTTTTGAAGCAACAAATAGAAAGGGAAGCATGAACAAAGAAACATGAGATGGATTATCACTTGAGACAACAAAACAGCAACCACAGTCCACAAATAAGTTAAATGAATCACAACCTCAAGTCTGAAGAATGGAGTTATTTTTTGAATGGAGAAGTCCTGTCCTAGTCACAGCAAATACTTTTTATAAGGTTAATAATAGTGAGTATTATCATAAATTGCATCAACTAAAAAGAATATCATGTCCCGGTATTTTCGAAATCTCCCCAAGAAGCAAGATAGAGACATCACAATGTATAACAAAAAACTAATCGACTTGGCCTAGAGGTTAACATCATGCTTTGTAAAGGTCTCCCATCCATACATATGTACGTGTCCAACTTTGTATGGTCTGAGACTATTGTTTATTCAATTATCTCATGGCTATAGTCAGTGCTCTTTCGTGTGGAAGAAATAAACAGCTGAAATCAATGTAATGGAGTTGAAGCAAGAGGGCCATAGTAACCAATGAGGAGAAAAAAAGATCAAGGCTTTTACTTTTTTTCACATGATTGAAGAATAATAGAGGCAGTATTATTGCCTTGCATCAATTGTAGCATCACAAATGACCCCAATGATGAACTCACGCAGGCAAACCCAATAGAAATCTATTTTCGGGAATTTTGAAGAGTTTTAAAGCAATATAGCCTGGTAAACAGACCTATAAGAGTCAAACAAGAAGCATTCTAGTTAATTCTTAAGATGGTATTTCTCCGCGTAAATGTCACCGATATAACTGATAACCTAATACGATTTGCTCCGAATCCATTTTCCTTACTTGGTAGGTAACCCTTGAATTTTAATATGACCCATCTTATGAATCTACGATTTATTCAAGTACTAGTAAGAGAACTTCAAAAGGAGTTACACACCACTTGATTGACTTTATATTCATTCAAATGTTTGATAGGCTGCTGAAGGGAATACATACTTCGGATGTGGGATGACATCACAGGCTTACCTCGTGATTCTTCCATCAATACATCAAAATAGCCATTGGAACAAATGCAAGACAAAAAGGGATGTAGGAAAATAGAGCTCAAACACTAAAGTAGCTTTCTTTTAACGTTGCAAGTGCAGAAAGCAGAAACATCATGGTAATCCATTTACTCGATTACATCTGTCAAGATTATCATAACTGACTAATTCAGCCCTATTTAGAAAGAAAAACCTAACAAAGCATATAGTAAACTCAAACAATGTTGAGGAGAAGGTTTATCAGATAGTAGATACAGCTGAAGGTCAAGGTCTCAAAGTAAGCTCCACGGAAATAGTGCCACCAGAAAAACATGACCAAAACACTGACACAAGATGCATGGGAAATACTACCAATTAAACAGGTTAGTATTTGTTTCCATTACAACAAAAAAAAACTAGGATAGTTTTAAAACGGAAATCAACAATTGAGATTGTCAAAGGACTCCATCAAAGTAAATCCCAGATTACCATATCACCAAAAGACCCTATATTAAAGCTTTTAACCAAATATTTGAACATAACCAAACCTGTGCACGTACACCACTTGAGCTGAACATAAGCTAAAGCACACCAACCAAAAAAAAGAAGGAAAAAGTAGATAATCACCAACTGAATTTCATGCAGCCACTTCTTAATGTATTTGATATTTTTTACATCCCACTTTAGTAACCATCTATGATTCTCCATCCTAGAACAAAAAAAAGGAGTTCGGAATCCAAAGGCAAAGCATCCAACTTTCATATAAATTTTTAACTTCCCAAATATTACAAACAGAAAGTGTAATATTTCATTACAACTCAGAAAATTTCAAACAGGAACGAACAGTTCAGAAAGCCAGTAGAAACCATCAAAGTGAAGCCCAGATAACCGTATCACCTAAAGACTTGATTTTTAAGCCTTCACACAACTATTAAACATAGTCACACCAATACAGGCTACACAACTATTACTGAGCTTTTAACCTAATACTGAGACACACCAATACAGGTACACCATTCGAGCTGAACAGAAGTCTAAACACACCGACAACAAAAAAGAAAAAAGGAAAAGGATAAGGAAAAGAAAAAGTAGACAATCACCTACTTAATTTTATGCAGCCATTACTTAATGTATTTGCTATTCTTTACATCCCACTTTAGTAACCACCTACTACTTCCTCCATCTCAAAATGAACAAAGGAGTTAGGAATCCAAGGGCAAAGCATCCATCTTCCGTGTGACTTTCGACCTCCCAAATATTAACAGCATCATAAAAATGGAACACAGAGTAATATCTCATTACAACAACCAAGCAGGTTAACACCGACTCAAAAAAATTCAAGCACAAACCAACCGTTCAGAAAGCCAGTAGAGAACATCAAAGTGAAGCCAGATAACCATATTACCTAAAGACTCAATTTTTAAGCCTTCACACAACTATTGAACATATTCACACCAACACAGGTACACCACTGTAGCTTTACAGAAGCTAAAACACACATACACAAGATTACCTCACTACTCAACTATTACAAATTCTTAACATCCCACTTTAAATTAGTAAATTACTCATAAAACTGAACAAACAGAAAACAATAATCTTGAAACAGAGCATAATAGATAAATGATATTGGGTTTTGAGAAATTACCCGGAAAGTATTTTCCAACAATACGAAAGATCCGATTACCCAATTTGTCAGATCCAGATTCAAGGCGTAAGAACTGTAGTGAATCAAGATGAGCAAAATCTTGTTCCTCAGAAGGAGGAGGGTCAGAAGCACAATCATACCAGTTGTCTTCAGGTTCTTGATGGGTCAAAAAGGGTCGGGCATCAACACCAAGATCCGATGCCAGCACCAACACTGAAAAATCATCTTTACTGCTGTTACTTGAGCTTCCCATGTTTATCTACACACACAACAAAACCAACCAACACCACACACACAAAAGTGTTATTGACTCACACTAATAATATAATGTTTTTTAAACTATAATGTTAGGTGAGCTTTTTATTATATTTATTCTTTCAAAACTTTATGCTATTCATAATGGTATGATATTGTTAATTTTCATGTTATTGTTGCGAGGAAAAGTCTGATTTTATGTTATATTAAATTTTATGGCTACCCTCTTCTTTTATGTTTTCTCATATTTATTTAACCTTTTGATCTCTTAATTATTTTTTTTTGCTAATTTTGTTATTTTTTTTAAGTTATTAATGATGTACTCTATCTAAAATTATAACACTAGTAGCTGATTTATTTTGATTATTATTTTAATTTTATGATTTTGATTTAATATAAAGAAAAGGTTTAAAAAAGATTTCTTTTTTTAGTAATCGACACACTAATGCAAAGAAAACATCTTGGACCTAAATAATTGTCCTTTCCATTTTCATCTTTAAATATCACAATTTTTTTTTGGGCTAAAATGAGAGTAGACATGTGTCAGAATTCCAATGGTGGAGTTATGACCACATATTGAAGTGCTCAAAAGGAGAGTCTACTGTCCACCACAAGTACTATGCAACAAACAAGAAAATGGAAACTTTTCTCTCTTCACTAGCTGTTTACATGGTGAGCAATCAATACTTTTTCATTTTCATATATAGAAATACTTAGTATATATCTATACACTTTTCATTCTGTAATTCTTTAAACTGTTTAAAGCTTGATTTTTTTTACATGTTCTGCTTCATTTGTGTTGAAAATTGGGGAACTTTCTTGAATCCAGCTTGAAATTTCAAGATTTTAGGACCCCATTTGAAGTTTTCTTGAAACAAATCATTACCCTGTTGGAAAAAGATGGATACTTTGTTGAAAACCCCAAATAACCTTGAATTTCTGAACCCACATCATGGTTTTGCTGTTAAAGCTAGTACCTTTAGATCTGAGAAGCATCATAATTTTGGTTCTAGGAAGTTTTGTGAAACTTTGGGTAGAAGTGTTTGTGTTAAGGGTAGTAGTAGTGCTCTTTTAGAGCTTGTACCTGAGACCAAAAAGGAGAATCTTGATTTTGAGCTTCCTATGTATGACCCTTCAAAAGGGGTTGTTGTGGATCTTGCTGTGGTTGGTGGTGGCCCTGCAGGACTTGCTGTTGCACAGCAAGTTTCTGAAGCAGGACTCTCTGTTTGTTCAATTGATCCGAATCCTAAATTGATATGGCCTAATAACTATGGTGTTTGGGTGGATGAATTTGAGGCTATGGACTTGTTAGATTGTCTAGATGCTACCTGGTCTGGTGCAGCAGTGTACATTGATGATAATACGGCTAAAGATCTTCATAGACCTTATGGAAGGGTTAACCGGAAACAGCTGAAATCGAAAATGATGCAGAAATGTATAATGAATGGTGTTAAATTCCACCAAGCCAAAGTTATAAAGGTGATTCATGAGGAATCGAAATCCATGTTGATATGCAATGATGGTATTACTATTCAGGCAACGGTGGTGCTCGATGCAACTGGCTTCTCTAGATCTCTTGTTCAGTATGATAAGCCTTATAACCCCGGGTATCAAGTTGCTTATGGCATTTTGGCTGAAGTGGAAGAGCACCCCTTTGATGTAAACAAGATGGTTTTCATGGATTGGCGAGATTCTCATTTGAAGAACAATACTGATCTCAAGGAGAGAAATAGTAGAATACCAACTTTTCTTTATGCAATGCCATTTTCATCCAACAGGATATTTCTTGAAGAAACATCACTCGTAGCTCGTCCTGGCTTGCGTATAGATGATATTCAAGAACGAATGGTGGCTCGTTTAAACCATTTGGGGATAAAAGTGAAGAGCATTGAAGAAGATGAACATTGTCTAATACCAATGGGTGGTCCACTTCCAGTATTACCTCAGAGAGTCGTTGGAATCGGTGGTACAGCTGGCATGGTTCATCCATCCACCGGTTATATGGTGGCAAGGACACTAGCTGCGGCTCCTGTTGTTGCCAATGCCATAATTCAATACCTCGGTTCTGAAAGAAGTCATTCGGGTAATGAATTATCCACAGCTGTTTGGAAAGATTTGTGGCCTATAGAGAGGAGACGTCAAAGAGAGTTCTTCTGCTTCGGTATGGATATTCTTCTGAAGCTTGATTTACCTGCTACAAGAAGGTTCTTTGATGCATTCTTTGACTTAGAACCTCGTTATTGGCATGGCTTCTTATCGTCTCGATTGTTTCTACCTGAACTCATAGTTTTTGGGCTGTCTCTATTCTCTCATGCTTCAAATACTTCTAGATTTGAGATAATGACAAAGGGAACTGTTCCATTAGTAAATATGATCAACAATTTGTTACAGGATAAAGAATGAATCCGAGTAATTCGGAATCTTGTCCAATTTTATATAGCCTATATTAATACATCAGTCTTTTGTTCAAATTGTTTGCTTTATAAGCTTTTTCTTTCTCTGCTTGCTCTATCTCTCACATTTGATCATTTATCATCAGCATCATAAGTACTTGTTCTTAGACCTTTATTTGTTGTTTCGATCCTTTTCAACAACTGTTAGCAAATTGTCGCGTAAAACTATATGTGCTATTCCAACTTTCAGCTTGAACTTTGATTGTTTTACCAATCTTGAGCTCAACAACATCACTAGTGATCAATAGGACATGATATTATTCCCTAGTCATCATTCGAAGTTTCGCTGGTGCGTATGTTAAGAGAGTGATGCCTCACGGAGTTTAAATCCTGATTTCGCCTCTGATTATAATAATCTGTGTTTTAAAGGGGTTTTTTTGAACGAGCTAGCCATCATGAAACACCATGAGAATTTACATGGCAAGCTCAAGTCTTTAGAGATTTATGCCAAGTACTGTGTGCTCCAAGCAGGCCTACTCAAATGCTTGGTGGGCTCACTAAATTTTCTTTTGTTGGGCTAAATGAGTAACTTTACATATAGCAAACATAAAAATTATATATAAAAATAACACACTATACACATTTAAGGTTATATATATTGAGTTATAAACATATATTTTAAAAATAAATTACTTATAGCAGATTATTATCGAGTTATAGCATATCAATTAAAATTATATTTAATTAAAAATAAACTATAAGTAATTATTTAAATACTAATTAATATGTTTAAATATTTTTTTTATTTTTTACAATTAACTTTTTATTTTTATTTTTAAATAAAATAAAAAGGAAAAAAATGTTTATTTAAATTGGTAAGTAGCACTAATTATGGTATTTGAATTGATTTTAATTAATAATGGATAATTAACAAATTAACATATATTAAGGAATTCAAAAAGTATTTGGGATATTGCACAATTACCCTCTCAACTTATACCCGAAATCTCAGAGACGCACTTATACTATTCTTAGGTCCTATTATCTCCCTGAACTTATTTTATTAATAATTTTCTACCCCTTTTCGGCCTACGTGGCACTAGATTGTGGGCCCAACGGTGGTTGACTTTTTTTTTTCAAGTTAGTGCCATGTAGGTCGAAAAGGGGTAGAAAATTACTTATAAAATAAGTTTAGGGTGGCAATAGGACCTTAGTATAGTATAAGTGTGTCTCTGTGATTTCAGGCATAGGTTGAGGGGGTACTTGTGCATTTTCTTAAAGTATTTAAATCATTCAGTTTCCTTAAAATGCTTAAATTAGTTTAAATCAAATTAAAACATGATTTTTTTCTTTATCACTTTTTAAAGCTTTTAATATAAATAATAAATTATTATTAATTAAATTTACTAATTAAATTTCTCATTATATAGTTGTCTTTTAAAAAAGAAAATCTAAATAATAGGGATTTGATTTTACTTAATTTCCTATTATACGGTTGCCCAATAACTATCCACCCCCATCTCAACCAATACATATACAGACATCTTCCCCCAATACACTCCATCTCTCCCCAACACGCGAAGATATTTTGATCTTCCCTAAATCCCGCCTCACTCATTATCTCTTCCCAACACGCAAAGATTTTTTGTTCTTACCCAAATCCCGCCTCACTCATCTTCCCCATTATCCCTCTCAGATCAGTTCATCCCAAAATCCAAACATCCCTCTCAGATCAGTTCCCCATTAAGTTCATATAGAATGTCTAGGAAAGGTAGTGAAACCCAAGTAAAAGTAAAAGATTGGTCGATGAGTCTGATGACTTTCATGTTATTTCATTCGATATATTGTCACAAACTCAAACGCAGAAATCAAAGGGAAAAGAGAAGTGTAGTTCAGTTAATTCAAAAATGAATAGAAAAACAAAATCAAAGAGGCAAGAAGAGGAAAGGAAAAGAAATTAGAACATCGTCAGAATCCGAATCTGACTTTGCTGAGGATTAAAAAATATAAAATCAAAAAAAATAAAAGGCATTGAAATTGATCGATCAACAAGAAAGTTTTCAAAAAAAAAAAGCATCAGAGATACAAGCTACAAATAACCCCCAAAAAGTTAATAAAGTCACTAAAAAGATTATTTCAAATTTGGATTACAATATGTTGTGTTAGTATATTTAATTTTTGATTTTATTTGTTAATAGTATACTACATGAAATTTGTATGATTTATGTATGAGTTGAGTTTTTAGTATTATACATTATAATTATATATGAATATTGAATGATTTAGTGTTGTATGTTTTGTATATGATATAATTTGAATATATCAGTATATGATTTGATACATAATAAATGTATTAATTTTGTATGATTTTGTGTATGAAATAGTTGGTCATTATCGATACAGGATGTCTGCATTATGTAATTACCTTTGTATCATATATGTATGAAATGATATTCTTATCCAGTAAAATATATGTGTATGAATGATGTATTAATGTTGTGTATCCTATAATTTTGACTTTTATAACAAGTATTGCAACTATATATTTTATTTTTTGATTTTGATGTATGAATTGACGTATTCATACTAAATGATATTAGTTTGTAGTTTAAAAGTTACAAATTAATTTTTTTTAAAAAATTGAATATGTATTAATATTGTATGAATTGTGTATGAACTGAGG